TTAGATTTGGAATAAAATTCATTTTAATAACTTATTTATTTTATCTTTTCCTATGTGGCAAAACTTAAGATGCCAAGTATATTCATCAACAACCATTACACAATCAATATATCTAGAGTAATATGAAATTTTATTATCAGCTTTCTCATTTACTTGAAGAAAAAATAAGTTGTAGTTATCAACTAAGTGTCCTCAAGCATAAATTTGTCCACGCTTTCCGATTGATACTTTCAATGATCGGAAGCGGACTTCAAAGCCCTTTTTTATAAGCAAAGGGACATATATAATATTTCGTCTCATACAAGGGACAAAATATATATCAGTTAATACAAGATTGATTATCCCTATATATAACCTACAAATTTTTACACCTAATACATCATAACAGGTGTTGTTCCCCATGTAGATGCGCTTCTCCCCGGCTTTTATTTCTTTAAAGTCCTCAAAGAGGCATTTTGAGCTTGTGATGTGCTGATTAGCACCTGAGTTCACCCACCATCTTTTGATGTCATGGTCTGCCAGTAGACACTTAGATATCACACAAACAACTTCACGCATCTTGCTTTCATTCTTGTCATTCTTTGGATTTTTGGGGTTTCTATTCTGTGGCTTGCGGTTCTTGATGTGACCTAACTGACTACATAACAAGCATTTTGGCGGTCCATGTTTAGTTTCTTGGTTGTGGGTTTAGTTCCTTTGTTTTTGAACATAGTATTCCTTTGGTTAAACTTCCCTTAAAATTTTTAGTTATCAGGCTTTTGTTGGCTAAATTTGGGAGGTACTTGAGCAAGCATGAGTTCACTCGTTTTATCTTTGTTCATGTGCTCTTGCTCTAAGGCTAGGTGCATAGATATGTCCCCTAATGTAAGAGATTTTATATTCAACCTAACTGCAATTATTACCATCCTCCATGAATATAGAAGACTATTTAAGATAGTGCAAACTTGCATTCGCTCGGGAACTTTGTTCCCAGCAAAGGCTAAGTCCTTAGCCATAATGAGCATCTTGTTAACATGTTCCACTACATTATTACACTCCTTCATCTTAAATGAATTATTTTCTCTACTAACAATTGGAGGTGTGTTTCAGAAGTCGAGTCATATTTAGTTTTTATTACCTCTAGCATTTTCTTAGATGTTTCATAACGCTTGAAAACCTTAATAAGGTCATATTGCATAAAAGTTAGCATAAATTTTTTTGCTATAAGGTCATGTTCTAAAAAAGTTTCTAGCATTTTTCTTTTTTCTTCAATTGGTTTATTACCAATTTATGGTGGCTCTTCTCTTTGTACATATATTATTCTATCTTGGATGAGAATATATTCTATCTTCCTCTTCCACATCCCAAAATTATTTTCATTCAATTTTTCAACTTTGGAAAGTTCAGCCATTACAATTCTACTGGCCATTTGCTAAGTTTTATGTCAGCAAACTAATTTTTTTTAAGTTCTAAAGAAGTTAAACAAGGAACCAAAAATTTAATATGTGGTAAATACTTGTACAATGAGAATTGCAATTATTTCATAAAACAATATCAATTATTAAGTGATGCTTTAAAAAAAATTTGAAATAGGCAATCTCTCATTCTATAAATAAGTATTACAATTATCGAAGACAATATAAAATTTCTCCTTTATGTTATTTATTTGGGATGCAAGAGCAATATCAAGGTGTGTGAGCCCAAATATCAAGTATCAATTTCTATATCACACCAAGGCAGTGAGTGCATTAATTGCATTTAAATATCAGCAATACAAAAAAAAATTAGCAAAAAATAAGTCTTCTACAATTTTCGTCTCCCCCTTTTTTTTTTTTAATAGAAATATCAACAATATATAAGGCAACAAAATAGCAAAATATGTATTCAGAGATGTGATATATGTACAGAGTGACTGTATCTTTATAACAGATAATCCACCATAAAATATTTAACAGAGATGCAATATATGTGCCATTTAATGTTGGGGTTGCAATGACTTGCACATGACTAATACTTGAGGCTGGGCCTACCAATATCTTAAATATGGTTTCTTGCAATATCTTAAAATATGGCTGCACGCAATGTCTTAGCATACCTTAAATATGGTTGCACACAATATCGCAATATCTAAAAAAAATATGGCTGCATGAAATATCTCAATATCTTAAAAAATATTGCTGCATCCAATACCTTAAAAAGAATATTTCGTTACGTGCAAGCAAGATATTAGTGAGCCCTTATTTACTTTTACGAATATAAAGTATATAAAAAAAATATTAGTGACAATAAAATATATATGGATCCAATATTTTGTTACCAACTAGATATGGATGGCAATTTTGGTTGCCTGTCACGTATGGATGTAATATCTAATTGGATGCTTTTGATATTCACCTAAGTGGATAAAGCGTCTATTTTGATGTGTTTGTTTTTAGCTATGTAACATCAAGATTAGCAAGTGACTTTACATATTATAATGCTAGATATCCTGAGTAGAAAGTCCAAAAAATAGCAATTCACTTTACATGCTTATTAGAATACAAGGTATTCTAAGTAAAATAGCAAGTGACTTTTACGTGCTTGCAAGATATTGTATGAGTAAAAAGTCAAAAAAAAAAAGAACAACAAGGGCTTTAAGTGGTATGCACTGAAATTCACTACAATATTGACAATAGAGGTTTACAGTTGTGTAAACACAGTGGAACTTTCCTAAGACAGAGGCGATGAGAGAGCAAAATTTGATGATGGCCCTTATGTAGTTCACCTTCCAAAAAGGATGATAACATAATAATAAATAAATAAAAGATCAAGGAATGAACTCACGGCTCAGGCACACGGGATAGCAAAGAAAAGCCGAATTGAGATTGAGAAAATTACAACAACATCAATATCATCATAACAACCGCGCTCTAATACCAGTGAAAGTGGAAATTGATGGAGCGCGTATGATACCAACCCGAGATCAGAGAAAAATGTTGTGAGGCTGGTGATTGTAGAGCCCAGATATTTCTTGCCTTTTTGAGGGAGAGAAGATGAATATTGTGTTTACATATGAAACTCTGTATATCTTTCTTTCTTGCTACGTCCTTCTTCTCTCTGGCTTTCCATTTTATAATGAGAAAAAAAAAGCTTAACGGTTATCTTTCCAACAAGTCTCTAAGAAAGGATCTTCCTTGATCTTAAGGACATTTATCCAACGTTCATATGGACGTTGGTTCATGTGAATGCTCGAAGTGATGAATATAAAATTCCTCCCACAATTGTAGGCCTCCCAGCCCACAATTGTAGGCAAAGTCACACTAGGCCTTATGGCCATAGGTGTTAACAGAGATGATCAATTTGATGATATTTGGGCATCAAAACAACCTCTTCTATTGAAAATTTTTGAGGTAGGTTTAAATTTGATTGTTTAGAGTTTCGGCTCTATATAAATTTTTCCCTATAAATATTGAATAAGTGGCAAAATTTTTTTTAAAAAAAGTAAAAAAACTAGAGAATGCAATACCTTCATGTAAAATATGTGCTAAGTATACGATACCATTACTGCAAAAGTATTATGAGGGCTGGTAATGGGTCGGGCCTCCGTCGGGCCACTCCCGACAGCCCTACCATAGCTCCCAAAGGTCCGACCCCAACCGAGCCAGAGAGGCCTTGTCCTATGTCCCAGCCTTGGTCTTTTCAAGGCCAGGTCAAATAGAATTGAAGAAGAACAAGGAAAAAATAAAAAATAAAAAGCTAGTCCGGGCCGAACTAGGCTGATCGTGGCCCTAGGCCGGCAAGGTAGGCTATGATGCAAGGACCTTGGGCCACATTTCGTTGCCCAAGCCATTAGGCCAATGGATGGGGCCGTCCGGCTCCTTGCCAACCCTGAGTATTATAATACATGAGTGATTTTTTTCGTCTTTGTTTTTTTGTCCTTTTGAAGTTCGTTGCAATGATTAAGAGAATCCTAAACTACTATTGTATTGGGGTACACGATATTCTGCCATGTGGATCAATAAATGAATAAAACTTTTAACAAATAGCAAATAAAGAAAATGGTGATGCTTGCAAAAATGTTGCAACCTTAAAACAATTAAAATAATACGTATCTCCAAACTTTGCCATAAGATACAATTTTGGTATCGAAAATTTATAGGATGGTTAGAGAATCTAATTTTATCTCTAGGTATAAAATTTTAAACTTCAAAAATAGTTCAAATCTAGCAAATCTTTAAACACATGAAAATTTTGAAAATTGATAATTCAGATAATTTGTTATAAGATGTATTATTTTTGAGATTTTAAATTTTGTTTTTTTGTTTTTTTTTCATATCCATACATGTAGATGTTAAGATGATCAATCAGTTGGTTTTTCAACATCTAAAGAGTCTCTTCTAATAGATTTTTAAGGTGCATCTTAATTCTAAAATTTAGGGTTTCAACCTTGTATAAACTCTATCCTATAGAAAATAAAGTCTTAACTTAGTTAGGGTGGGGTTTGTATAGAGCCTACGCTCTAAACAATCAAATTAGAGCCTACCTTCAAATAGAATCGAGAAATGTGGTTTCAGTACTGGAAATCATTGTGATAGCCTTAAAATATATTTTCATTTTTATTTGTAAAGTTTAAAGCTTCAAAAATAGTATAGATCGGCATATATGTAAACATTTAAAAATCTTGAAAATTGACAGTCCAAAAATACGTTACAAAATATATTATTTCCAAAACTTGAAATCTATTTTTTTCTTATGTTCATGCATCTTGATGTCGAGATGATCAATTTGATGATATTTTAGCATAAAAAAAACCTCTTCTAATGAAATTTTCGAAGTTGGCTCTAATTTGATTGTTTCGAGCCTAACTCTATATAAACTTTTGGCGGTCAACTTTTTCCTATAGAAAATAAAGTCTTAGTTTTCAAAAAGTCTAACTTAGTTTTCAATTTTTTTTTTTAATGTTCAACTAACTGCATATTCCGAATATTACTAACTTTAGTATTTATAGTGACATGGTCTGCCGGCATTTCCATTGATTGGTCGACTGTCCTCCACCCACCCCTCGAGGGTAGTTAGAGACCTCCTGCGCGACGCAAGCAGTATACTACATGTATTTATTCTCTAAAATCCATACGGTAAATACTGTTATGCTACCTACTCCAAAACTACATTTTCACGTATTATTTGATACAAAATTATCTCAGTTCTCTTCTCCCTAAAACTTATAAATACATCCCCTCCACCCATTTCTCCATCTCACAGTCTTCAATTGTGCTATTCCCCTTGTTTCCACAAGATTTCCGGTGGCCGGGCAATCAACAATGGAGTCCTCTGCCGTAAAAGAGATCGAAATCGACCTCTCCCCTTACATCCGCCTCTACAAGGACGGCACCGTGGACCGCCTCGCAGGAAACGAAATCCTCCCCGCTTCACTCCTTTCCGAATCGGGCGCCTCCTCCAAAGACGTCACCATCTCGCGGGAATCCGGCATCTCTGCTCGCCTCTACTTGCCGAGCTCCGCCGGCCGGGGCCAAAAACTCCCGACTCTCGTTTACTTTCACGGTGGAGCCTTCATTATAGAATCCCCCTTCTCCCCCCTCTACCACCCCTACACTGAGTCTGTCTCTGCGAATTCCAAGGCCCTCGTTGTCTCCATCGACTACCACCGCCCACCGGAGCACCCGCTCCCAGCAGCCTACGAAGACGCATGGGCAGCACTCTTGTGGGTCGTCAGCAGGGTCGATCCATGGCTCGGAGACTACGCCGACCTCAGCAGGATCTTCGTAGGGGGTGACAGCGCAGGTGCGAACATTGCTCACCATGTGGCCCTGCGTGCTGGTACCGAGGGCTCCGAAGAGTTGAAGAAGCTGAGAGGGCTGATTCTAATGCACCCTTACTTCTGGAGCTCGGGTTTGAGCGAGGAGGAGAGAGAGAGGGGCAAGACAGTTGGGCAGATGTGGAAATTCGCTTGCCCGGACAGCGAGGGGGTGGACGACTTGTGGATCAATCCCATGGCGAAAGGGAGCGAGGGGTTAAGGAATTTAGGGTGCGAGAAAGTGTTGATCTGTGTGGCCGGGAAGGATTTCCTGAAGGGGAGGGGGGTGGCGTATGGCGAGGCGCTGAGGCGGAGCGGGTGGGAGGGGGCGGTGGAGGTGGCTGAGGACGAGGGAGAAGATCATGTTTTCCATTTGTTTAATCCTGAGCGCCAGAAATCAAAGGTTATGATGGAGAGGGTAAGTTCGTTCCTCGAGGACTAAGAGGTTGGGAGCCTTGGACCAGTTCGTCATTGTCAGTATTGTATCTGATCACGTAGCCATGTGCCTACGCTCACCTCTCTCTATAAATGCGCTCATAAACTTCACCCATGCCTACTCCTCGTGGCGAACCAAATTCCCAACCACCGATTCTCTTTTCTTTTTTTTTCTTTTTTATTTTATTGTTTATCTCTCTCGTATCTTTGTTATCACTAACTCTTGCACTCTCATCTCCGCTTCTTCTCCTCCCCAAACCAAAAAATTTGAGATTTATTAAAATAAACCGGTTTCTATACGGCCAACCCCGCATATGTAGAAATACAGGCCTCTTAATAAATCTATTTTTGAGATGGATTTTAAAACTTAATTTTTTTAAAAAATGTAATCTCTAACATGGAGATCATGAATATGAATAAATAAATAAATTTTGAAGCTAAAATTGATAATTTTAATAAGAAAATATTTGGACCATTAGTTTCAATTGTTTTTAAATGGAACACCTATGGATGCTTTACACTTTCTGGACCGCATATGTAGAAATGTGGTCCAGTCCAAAACAATTTTCCTTATCAAAAGGGCTCAGTTTTTATGCGGCCAAGCCCGCATAGTTAGAAATGCGGGCCTATTAATAAATCTATTTTTGAGATGGATTTTTGGACTTAATTTTTTTGGGACATGTAATCTCTAACACGGAGATCATGAATATGAAAATATAAGTAAATTTAAAAAACTAGAAATAGTAATTCTAGGAAGAAAACCTTTGGACCGTTAGCTGGAACACCTACTTGCATGCGTTACATTTTTTGGACTGCATATGTAGTAATGCGGTCTAGCCCGCATGAAACAGTTTTCCTTATCAAAATGTACACACCACTCTTAAAAAAATTGATCCGGACTTGAAAACCGGCCAAGGGCTTGGTCTGGGTAAACTGTTAAATTGGCCGGTCAAAAAAATGTTGAAAAATATAAAATATACAAAAACATATAAAAATATATTTAAAGCATGATTAAACCAATCACATCCAAATAAAGTGAAAATTTAGTAAAAAAATAGATTTTAAAAACTCGATTTGGGCCTAGGAATATTTTTGAAATTTTTCAAACAGATGGAAAATATAAAAATAAATATTCAGGGAGAAAATACTTTTTACCAAAATGCTAAAAAAAACATTCAAAAATAGATTAGAAACAAATCCCTTA